CGGGCGAGTCCGGGGCCGCGGGGCGCACGCCGAGCTCGCCGAGGGGCTCTGCCGCCCCGCCGCCGCGCGCTCAGCCTCTCCCCTCGCGCTGTCCGTGCTCCGGGCCCGGCGGCCACCTCCTCCGCCCCACCCCACTCCAAGGGGTGCGAGGGGGAACCCCAACCTGCCTGCCCGTCTCCTCTTCTGACCGGTCCCAAGCTGGACTATCTGTCCCCAGAGGCTGGACTTTTTTCCCCTCCTTCTTGACAAGCTCTCTACTCTCTCCCTCCCCTCCTAAGCCTCTCGCATTTTCCTCACCGTCTCTCCTTAGTTCTTCTCTTATTTAGCTTTTCTCTTCTTTCCCCCCCTTTTCAGCACCCCTTAAACATCTCTGTCTGTCCTGTGATTCTTTGTCCGGTTCATTCCTCTTGCGATGTGTCCCTGCCCGTCTCTCCCTCCCTGTCACTCTCTTCTGTCTCTCATTTGTCTCTGTCCTGCCTCATACTTGGCGCGTATCTCAGCGCTCCTCTTGGACAGCTGTCAAAACTCCCTAATCCCCGGGGCCTTCTCTGTTTTGTTCTTTTCCCTCGTGTGAATGGAGAGATCCAGTTGGCCAGGAGAAAGGTGGTGTTACAGCAAGCTGAATTTCAATTAAAGTGGGGCGAGGGGCTGGGGATGAATGGGGATGACGGCAAAAAAGAAAGCAGATGCTGTATGGGGTAATTAATGCAGTGATTGTATTGTGCCAATTGGTTTTTAAGCAATAATTAAACAATAATTAGCCAGTATTCTGTTTATAGTCCTAGTGACTGCAGAGCCTACAAAACAGAAGCTCTTTAGACCTGAGTACTTAGTGTGGTGTGTTGGGGGGTGTTGCTGCTGTCTCAGCCAGGCTGATGGAGAGGCTGTGGCCTGAACTAATGTGTTAAAACACACCTAAGAGGAAAATCAAGTCCTAGTCTAAAGTTGGTGGCCTGCTACCCACCAGCCAGAATCTCCTGCATCTGTTTGTCTCTGACAACCTACTTAGTTACACCTCTCTCTGGGTCATAGCACCTGGGACCTTTCCAGATCTAGCAACGGGGTAACTAAGAGTAAACAAAATAAGTAAGTTTTTAGTGAACCCTTTCTGGCTCCCTGTACTCATTACTTTCTTTGTTGAATGTCGCAAATGGTGTTTTTTTTTTTCCCCCACCCATTAAAAGAATAAATACAGTTGCCTGACTCCAATCTTGGGTACATCTATAAGACCCCATTTCTTAAAAATTATTAACAGTGACTCTGAGATCACAAGTTCACTGCCATGAGATCTAATTCACCTGGCCCTGATATCTTGAACTGCCTTAGAGCAGCCAGCACCCTTACCTATCACCTTCTCTGACCGCAAAAGTACTTCTCATTTGTATTTTCTAAATTTTGCCTCCCTTTTGCTCCATGCCTAAATGCTGGCGTGCTCTCTTGCTCTCTCTCTCTGTCTCACACACACACACACACACACACACACACACACACACACGACGGCAGAGCTGCTGTTAACTGCCACCATTGTGCAGATAGAGAACCAGAGACCTGGCAAGAGTCTTGCCAAATTCATCCCAAATTCAGAAGAAACATGTTTAAAGGAAGGTTGATATCAAAATCTCAATAAATGTGGACCAGAATGGGGGGACATCTTATATAATGACACTGAGTTTTAAGAGGAAATTTGCCAATTTCTATTAAAATTTCAAATGTTTATGGCTATATTAATATCAGACAAGATTTCAGAGCAAAGACTCTTACCAGGGATAAAGAGAGGCATTTTCAATTCATCAATTAGACATAACAATCCTACAAGTTTTTGCATTTAATAAGAGAATTTCAAAATATATGCAGCAAGACTGATAGGACTACAAAGAGAAATAGACAAATTCATAATTATAGTCAGAGATTTTAATATCTGTGTCACTCAATAATTGATAGATCATCAGGAGGAATATGGAAGACTTGAACAGTGTTATCACCCAACTTAACCGAACTGACACTTATAGAATACTCCACTCAATTACAGCAGATACACATTTTTTTCAAGTGCATAGGTAACATTTATGGAGATAAACCATATGCTAAGCCATAAAACGAATCGCAATAAATTTACAGGGTTTACACCATGCAAAGTGGTATGCAAATTATACCTCAGTTTTTTTTTTTTGAATCATACAAAGTATGTTCTATGAGCACAATAGAATTAAATTAAAAATCAATAACAAATATGTGGAAAATCCCCCAAATATTTGGAAACTAAATAACATACTTCTAAATAACCCACAAACAACTAAGAATGCAAAGGGAATACTAGAAAGAATTTTAAAGTGAATAAAAATGAAAACACATCACATAACAATCTGTGGGATAGAGCTAAAGCAGTACTTAGAGGGAAATTTAGAGTATTAAAATATCTATTTTGAAAAGAAAGTTCTCAAATCAATGATCTTCTCTTCTACCTTAAGAGCAAATGAAAGCCAAAACAGGACAGAAATTTTAAAAGATCAGAGCAGAAAGCAAGGAAATAGGTAACAGAAAAACAAAAGAGAAAAATCAATGAAACCAAAAGTGGGTTCTTTGAGATCGATAAAATTGATGAACCTCTAGGCAGACTGAAATAAGGAAACAAGAGAGAAGAATCAAATTACTACCAGCAGGAACGAGAGGAGCCCTGGTGGTCTACGTTTGGGCTCTCACTGCCACTGGCCAGAGTTTTCTGGTTAGGGAACCACACCACCCTGTCTATTGGTTGTCAGACTGTGGCGGCTGCCTGGTGCTGTGATGCTGAAAGCTATGCCAGCATTATTTCAAATTACCAGCAGGGTCACACCTGGTGGACAGGTTTCAACGGAGCTTCCAGACTAGACAGACTAGGTAGAAGGACCTGGCCCTCCACTTTGGAAAACATTGGCCATGAAAACCCTATGAATAGCAGTGGAGCATCTGATATAGCACAGGATGGTGAGAGGATGGCGCAAAAAGACCAGGCAGGGTTCCACTCTGCTGTACAACCAAAATCTACCTGACAGCACTAACAACAGGAATGAAAATAGATTATAGAGATGTAAAAAGAATAATAAGGGAATATTATGAACAATTGTATGCTATAAAATGGACACATTCCTTGAAAGACACAAACTACTAAAGCTCATTCAAGAAGAAGTAGATAACTTAAGTAGTCATATATTTATTAAAGAAATTGAATTTGTAGCTTAAAAGCCTCCCACAAAGAAAACTCAAGACCTATATGGCTTACTGGTGAATTCTATGATACATTTAAGAAAGAAATAATGCCAATCCCACACTCAGTCTTCTAGAAAAGTGAAGAGGGAATATTTCCCCACTCTTTCTATGAGGCCAGCATTACTCTGATGCCAAAACTAAACAAAGACCAATAAGAGAAGAAAAAAGAAAACCATAGGCCACTATCCTTCATAAACACAGAGGCAAAATTCTTAATTAAATTTTAGCAAATCAAATCCAATAATATATAAAAAGGATAATACCTTATGACCAAGTGTGTTTATACCAGGGATGCAAGGTTAATTTGACATGTGAAAATCTATCAATGTAATTTACCATATGTCATGGGTTGAATTGTGTCCCCCAAAAACATTTGTTGAACTCCTAATTCCCAGTACCCACGAATGTGACCTTATTTGGAAATAAGGTCTTTAAGGATGTAATCAATTTTGGATGAGGTCATTAGTGTGGGCCCTAATCCAATATGACTGGTGTCCATATAAGAAGGGAAAAACTCCATGTAAAGACAGGGACACACAGGGAAAACACCATGTGACAACAGAGGCGAAGATTGGAATGATGTAGCTGCAAGCCAAGGAACACCAAGAATTGACTGCTACCACCAGAAGCTGGAGTGAAGAAAGGAAGGCGTCTACCCAGAGTCTCAGAAGGAGAATGGTCCTGCTGACACCTTGATTTTGGACCTCTAGCCTTTAGAAATATAACAGAAAAAATTTCTGTTGTTTAAGACACCCAATTTGTGGCACTTTGTTACAGCAGCTGTAGAAAATTAATGTACCATATTAAAAAAAACCATATGATCATGTCAATAGATGCAGGAAAAACATTTGACAAAATACAACATCGTTTTCTGATCAAAACTCTCACCAAACTAGGAAGGGAAAACACTTCCTCAACTTAAAAAAGGGCATTTACAAAAAACCTATAGCTAATACCA